TCGGGGTTTCGAGTAAGGCTTCTGAAATATCTTGATAGCAGAAAATCAAGTCATCTAATTTTACCGCGTACAGATAGTCTCCGCATTTCATAGAGCGGAAGGCGACGGGGAGTGATGAGAAACGATTCCGAATCATTGCTTCCCCAGGCATCCCTGAGGATGGTTGCAGGCTGCAAGGATGTGCCTCGGGCGTCGCTGCTGCGGACTTGAATGCTGACCGCGGCGGTTGGCTTTCTTTAATGTACCCGCGAGGCCTTTATAAAAGCTCGCTTCTTCCCAGTCGGATCCCATTTGGAACCTTTTTTTTTGTGAAGCCCGTCTTTCTGCTTCTCCTTGATCTCTTCCTAGGAGCACGACTCCCCTTGCTTTCTCCCTTTTCTGGACTTTTCCCAAGGATGGCAAACATTTCTACAGCAGCTTCTCGTGATATGGCGGGCTCATCATCTTCGTTCTTCTCCCAAGGTGAAGTGACGACCCCTCCCCGAGTCGAGGAGTGTGTCCCGGGATCGTTTGCGATGACCTCGGACTTCAGGGTCGAAAGACCTTCTTCTATATCAGGATGTCGGGAATCGGTAACCCGCTTCATCAGCTCCATAACGGATATAGAGAGAGTGAAAGTTGATTGTGGCTGGGGGATGCCGTACTTGTGGAGATACCTGCTCGGGACGAAGATATCACAACGTATAGGGCTGGTTTTCTGAGCGTGTATACCACCCATTTACTTTAGGACCGGTGGGACCGTCTTCGCCCCTGATAGATCCTGTGATCCTCGATTTTTGCCGGAGTTATCAGGTAGCCCTGGGTCAGATCCATCCTTCATTCTGGCGCGTGGTTTATATGATCAGGCATTACTCGGGCATGATAGAGGGGATGCCTTTAACTTTGAATCACCTGATCCGGATGTACAGCCCTCGCCTCATTTGTGGTCTGTTATCATAGTGATAAGAAAACGGACAGAGTATCGAGTACCGATTTTGACCCGGCGGGTGGTCGGAGTCTTTCGCGAGCCGAGACCCATGATGAACGGGGGCCGGGCGTTCAAACTGACCCTGTTGATTCATTAGTTATCGTCGATTCCACGAAAGGGGGATCACCTCAACCTTCTGGGGCGCGAGGTGAACCTTGTAAGGATGCTCCCGAGGCGGGCGTGTTGGTCGAAGGTAGAGACGTGCTGGGTGGTCCGGCGATCGTCCTCGAGGATAGCTCCGGGGTCAATGCTCCCTCAATTTTCGGTGAGATGGGCAGGCTTTGCGTGCGGGTACACTCCTTTATTGTTTCGTTGTTCCGGTCCATTCAGACCTTTGATTCCTTAACTTTTTTAGGCTCTTTTAGGCCGAACTGCTTTACAGCCAAACTCTCGCTCAGTATCAGGACAAGGTGAACCGCCGTGAGCTTGAGAAAGTCAGTTTAACTAAACAGGTTATTCATTCTTTGTCTCTGCTATTTTCTTGGGCTTCTGCGGGAGTTTATTGCTTTTGACCCTTTGGGCTTCAACTTGTGCAGTTTGAGAGGGAGACGCTTTTGCTAAAAAGGGAGCTCTAGGCCAGGGAGGCTGAGATCCTCGAGCTCAACCGTCGTGTGGATGAGGTAACCTCTGAGCGGGACATCGTTGCAAGGAGGGTTTCCTTGGTTGAGCGCCGGCTTCTAGATGCGAAGGAGGATAGCGTCAAGCACAAGGATCTACGTTCCGGGCTGGTGGCTGCACTACTTCTGATCAGACCTGAGGCTGAAGCGCTTGTATCTTTGCATGGGGGAGAAGCTGCCTCTGAAGATTTCTGCGTGGAAAAGGCCTTCGGAATTGTAGACCCGACTTTACCTCGAGCTGCGAGTCGTGTTTGTCCTGACCCTCGAAGATTAACCACTGGGGGCGTATTGGAAGGTGGCTCAAGAGGCGCTAGAAGTGGGGGCAGATCTCCGCAGAGAGGGGACATCGTTGATAAGGGGCCGCCCGGGGATCTGCAGGCTTAGTTTATGTTGTTCTTTTCATTGTTTTTCTTTCCTGTATATGGAGTTTTCATCTCGGCGTATGTAGAAAGAGAACAATCTTGTGAATTTATTTCCTTTGAGAGCTTTGAATTTGTAATGTAGCTTCGCAGCCCATTCCGGGCTGGTTGACGTGATCCGTGCCGAGAGATGCCGGGGGGGTTTCGCGCCTTCGCGCTTTGGCTTTTTTCTCATTTATTTTGGGATCTGGTTCCGGGGTCGTGCTACGACTCGAGCTGCAACCGACTCTGAGCTTCCATGTTGCCCGGATCAGCGATGGTGGTATTTGTGCCGTGCTTTTAGGCGTTGTGCAATCTCCTTGGAGCTAGTCTCCGAGTCGGGAGCCCGACTCGGGCTTGATATATCCTGGGGCTCTGCTTGTTGGAATTGGAGATAACGGTCTTTGTGTCGTGCCTCCTGGCGTGCTACAATCCTCGGGTCCAGTCTCCGAGTCGCGTTACGATTCGAGCTGCAATTGGCCTTTGATCCTTTCGGGGGCTCCGGCGATAGTGTTTTTTGTTTCTCGCCCTTGGGCGTTTGGCGATTTTCTGGGTCCAGTCTTCGAGTCGCGTTGTGACTCGGGTTGTAATTGACCCTCAAATCCTATTTGAGTTTTCGACCAGTGGTGGTAGCCTTTCTGCTGTTTCGGTCAAAGACCTTTTGATGTGAGGCCCGGAGGCTTTGCTTAGCCGGCGACAATGGAGCTTACGCTGTTTGGTCATAGAGACCTTTTGATGTGAGGCCCGGAGGCTTTGCTTAGACGACGACAATGGCACTTACGCTGTTTGGTCGTAGAGACCTTTTGATATGAGGCCCGGAGGCTTTGCTTAGTTTAAGTATTTTGGATCCGGTCTCCGAATCGGGTTACGATTCGAGCTCACTTTAATCCTCAAGTTGTCAATTTATAATTTGATAGTCGTAGAGACCTTTCGGTGTGAAGCCCGGAGGCTTTGCTTAGCTGGCGACAATGGTACATACGCTGTTTTGATGTGAGGCCCGGAGGCTCTTTGTAGGCTTTGTTTCCTCTCGTTAAGGTCTTATTGATTATTTTTCATGACCCGTCGTTGGTTCTAAAAGAACCTCGATTTCAAGTCGTAATCGACGATGTTTTGAGCACCTCGGAAGGTTCATAGCCCATAGGTCGAGTAGATCGACGCTTTTTTGATTTTGGAGCCGACGTGGTCGGGACTCGTTTTGTTGCCTGTTGAGGGAAGCTTGTGTTTTAACCGGTTCTTTCCGAAGTAGATTTGGAGGATTTTTTAGCAACAGTCGGGCGTCCCCGAGTCGCGTTTTTTGGGCTGCAGTAGCCGTTCCGACCGTAGTTGTGTGCATTTGGCCGGGGCCATTTTTATCCCGAGAAGTAGTTTTAGGCGTCATACCGAGGGTATGCCCTTTAGGGATTCTTACAAATGCGACGTATAGCCTAAACTGCAGGATTGTTCATGCCTGTTAAGGTCTTACAGTTTGCCATGCCTGTTGAGGTCTTACAGTTTGCCATGCCTGTTGAGGTCTTACAGTTTGCCATGCCTATTGAGGTCTTACAGTTTATGGAGAATAGATCTGGTTTTGCCGAGGCTGCCCGTTAGGGTCATACAATTTTGGATTTTCCAGTGCGTGGCGATTGGCGACAGCCTCCGAGTCATCGAGTTTGCTTGAAGACAGCTTTTCGTGAGTTTGGAGCTATTTTACGGGGGTTGGTGAGCCCGGAGTTCCGACCCTGGGGTCGTACGAGCTATCAAAATTGCTTATTTTGAGTATCCGAGTGTGTCAGACTTGTTTAATGGAGAAGTATTGTGCTTTGGGACAATCTTTCTTGAAACATGAAACGCTAAGAAACTACCTTTTATTGTTTTGGAGCGGATGTAGGCTGTGATGAAAATGCCAAAGTATATTCTTTATTGCTTGGCGTAGATATAGGCCGCAAGCACATATAGTTTTGTTGCCCTGAGCTCGACCCTCATGGGCTCGGCTCCTTAAAATTGTTTGGCCTGGTATGTTACCTTTGTTAGAAAGGTCCTTTCAGCGGGAATTCGTTCCGGGGTGAGAGTCTTTTTTCGTGGAAGAGAGGGCGATGCTCGATCGTGGGCTCCCGCGAGTATTTGACGATTGCGGGCCCTAACAGTAATATCATTTGAGCATCGACACATTCCAGTTGCTCGGAAGCCGCTCGCCTTCCATGGTGCCAAACTTATATGTGCCTTTGCCAATGATTCCGAGGACGCGATATGGTCCTTCCTAATTCTGGCCTAGTTTTCCTTCGTTGGGATTCCGGGTGTTGAGAGTAGCCTTCCTCAGGACCAAGTCTCCGATGCTAAAATATCTGAGGTTCGTCCTCCGGTTGTAATATCTTTTGATTTTCTGCTTCTGGGCAGCCATCCGAATCAGCGAGGCCTCCCGCCTTTCGTCGAGTAGCTCGAGGGTTGTTGTCATGGCCTCGTGGTTTGTCTCCTCGCCGGCGTGCCGGACTCTAGCGCTTGGCTCACCGACCTCTACGGGTATTAATGCTTCAGTGCCATATACTAGAGAAAAAGGAGTTTTGCCTGTACTTGATTTTGAAGTCGTCCGATATGCCCATAATTTCTCGGGTAGAGTCTCTCGCCACTTTCCCTTGGAGCTCTCTAATTTCTTCTTCAAGTTTAGGATGATAGTTTTATTTGTGGATTCGGCCTGGCCGTTTGCGCACGGATGATACGGTGTTGAAAGGATCCTTTTGATTTTGTTGTCCTCCAGGAACTGAGTTACCTTGCTCCTAATGAATTGTCTCCCGTTGTCGCACGTTATTTCAGATGGGATCCCGAATCGGCATATGATGTGTTCCCATATGAAGTTGATGACTTCATTCTCTCTTATTTTTTCGAAGGCCTTCGCTTCTACCCATTTTGAAAAGTAGTCAGTCATAAACAGAATGAATCTAGCTTTACCTGGTGTCGTTGGCAAAGGGCCAACGATATCCATTCCCCATTTCATGAATGGCCATGGTGATAGGACAGAATGTAATTCTTCCCCGGGTTGGTGGATCATGGGGCGAATTTTTGACACTTGTCGCATTTCCGGACGAACTCCTTGGCGTCTCTTTCCATGCTATCCCAATAGTAACCTGCTCGGATTACCTTTCTGACTAAGGATTCTGCCCCGGAGTGGTTTCCGCAGGTGCCCTCATGGATCTCTCGGAGCACATAGTCCATGTCTCCCAGTCCAAGACACACTGCTAGGGGGTCGTCGAAGGTTCTTCTGTACAGGGCCCCACTTTCGTCGAGCGAGAACCGGGCCGCTCTGATTCCCAAGGCTTTTGACTCTTTCGGGTCGGCGGTCAGCTTCCCGTCCTTCAGATAGGTGATGTATTTATTCCTCCAATCCCATGTCAGGCTGGTGGAGTTGATTTCCGCATGAGCCTCATCGACTGCGGACTTGATTAGCTGGACCACGGCCCCGGGGAGCAGGTCTTCCTCCTCGGCGGACGATCCTAGCTTTGCTAGGGCGTCAGCCTCGCTGTTCTGTTCTCGGGGCACAAGGACTAAGGTCCATTCCTTGAAGCGACGCAAGGTGACTTGGATTTTATCCAGATACCTATGCATTCTGTCTTCCCGAGCTTCATAACTTCCGTTTACTTGACTTACTACGAGGAGCGAATCGCATTTTGCCTCGATGGACTTGGCCCCCAGGCCTTTGGCCAACTCTAGACCTGCAATAATAGCCTCATACTCGGCTTCGTTGTTAGTTAGCTTCACAGTTTTTATGGATTGTCGGATTACGCCGCCGATGGGCGGCTTCAGGACTATACCGAGTCCTGATCCTCTAACGTTTGTGGCACTCTCCGTGAACAGGGTCCACACCCCGGAAGATGTGCCTGACTTCAGTAAAAGTTCCTTCTCCACCTCGGGGACGAGGGATGGCGAAAAATCGTCCACAAAATCCGCTAGGATATGGGATTTGATGTCCGTTCGAGGTTGATATTCAATATCATACCCTCCGAGCTCGATGGCCCATTTGGCCAGTCGACCCGACAACTCAGGCTTGTGCAGTATGCTCTGGAGGGGATAGGTTGATAGGACACAGATGCGGTGGCACTGAAAGTAAGGCTTTAGCTTGCGCGAAGCGCTTATTAGTGCGAGCGCCAATTTTTCTAGATGGGGATATCGGGTTTCCGCGTCCCCCAAGGTTGGACTTGCATAATATACAGGAAATTGCGTACCTTGATCTTCCCGAACTAATACACCGCTTACCGCTATTTCGGATATAGCCAGGTACAGGTACAACATTTCATCTTCTTTGGGCGTGTGTAGCAAGGGTGGGCTTGACAGGTACCGTTTCAGCTCTTCCATGGCGTCTTGGCATTCCGGAGTCCATTCGAAGTTTCTCTTCCTTCTGAGTAGGGCAAAGAAGCGATGGCTTTTGTCAGACGACCTTGATATGAATCTACCCAGGGCTGCGATCCGCCCAGTCAGTCGTTGAACGGCTTTTACGTTATTTACCACTGTGATTTCTTCGATGGCCTTTATTTTGTCGAGGTTGATCTCGATCCCCCTGTTTGAGACCATGAAGCCCAGAATATGCCCAAGCCTACTCCGAAGGCGCATTTTTCGGGGTTGAGCTTCATGTTGTAGCTTCTGAGGATGTTGAAAGTTTCCTGCAAATGGGTCAGGTGATCCTCTGCGCGCAGGGATTTTACTAACATATCATCAATGTATACTTCCATCTATTTTCCTATTTGGTGTTCGAACATCTTATTAACTAGGCGTTGGTACGTTGCTCCTGCGTTTTTTAGTCCGAAGGGCATCACATTATAGCAATATGTGCCATACTTCGTGATGAATGAAGTTTTTTCCCTGTCCTCGGGGTTCATCGGAATCTGATTATACCTCGAGTAAGCATCGAGGAAGGTGAGGGTCTCGTGACCGGCCGTGGCATCGATTAGACGATCAATGTTGGGCAGCGGGAAAGAATCTTTGGGGCATGCTTTGTTTAAATCCTTATAATCTACGCACATTCTTAGCTTATTCCCTTTCTTTGGCACTATTACTACGTTAGCTAGCCATTCGAGATACTTTACCTCCCTGATGGATCCGATTTTTAAGTGTTTTACCTCGGACTGCGGCCTCCTTTTTTGCTTCACGGGTTTTAATTTGGGGTCGACGCTCAGCCGGTGGGAGGTTATTTCTGGCGGGATACCTGTCATATCTAGGTGGGACCAGGCAAAACAGTCGATATTGTTACTAAGGAATCGAATAAACCCTGTCCTGAGTTCGGGGTCAACCCCGTGCCTAGGTATACCTTGCGGTCTGGGAGGTTATCGATCAGAACAGTCTGCTCCAATTCTTCGACCGTTGATTTGGTCGCATCCGATTCTTCGGGGGCGACGAAGGTTCGGGGGGCGAAGAAATCTTCCTCGTCATCTCTGATGGTTTGCATGCTTTTTTCCTCGTGTGAGGCCGAGTGTGCGGGGGTTAACGGCTCACGGTGAATCGCAAACATTTCTCTTACCGTCCGCTGTTCTCCATGTATTGTTGTAATGCCATTTCTTGTGGGGAATCTCACCACCTGGTGTAAGGTAGAGGGCACTACCCTCATATCGTGTATCCAAGGTCTACCAAGCAAAGCGTTGTACCTCATGTCGCCGTCGATGACCTGAAATTAGGTGCTCTGGGTCGTGCCGGATGTGTTGATTGGGAGGGTGATTTCTCCTTTCGTTTCTTACCCGATCATGTTGAAACCGTGGAGGATTCGAGGAACGATGTTAATCTGGCTGAGCAATCCTAGCTGTTCTATCATTCCGGACCTGATTATGTTGGCCGAGCTGCCCGGATCTACGAGCACGCGCTTTATCCTTGTGTTGTTTAAGAGAAACGAGATCACCAGTGCGTCATTGTGTTGTGGTTCTCCCATGGCCTCGAGGTCCTCCTCGGTGAATACGAGGGTTTCTTCGGGTAAGAGCTACCGGGTCAATCCATCTGTGGCAGATGTTTTTGTCCGCTTGGATACGGGGCACTAGGGATCATCTGCCCCCCGATAATACTGTGGATATCATATTGGAGGGTTCCTTTTTGCCCTCGAACTAAGCCCAGGGGAGCGTCGGACTCCGGGCTGTTCGGTTTCGTTCCTTTGTTGCTCTCGAGATCTATGATTATCATGTTGCCGATCGAGCAGAATGTCTGGTCTTGAAAGCGGAGATGTTGGGCAAGAAAAAGTGCAAGAGATATCGTGCGTTTAAGTGACGAAACTAGCAAGAAAATAATCACTATTACTTTTATCCCCACGGTGGGCGCAAAACTATTTACCGTGAAAATGGTAACAACAATTAAATTTGTAAATGGGATTCTAAAAATATGTGATCTATTCCCGAGCTAATTTGAAAGGGTGAATAGTGCTAAATGTGGAGTAAAAACAGTAAAGATCGAGCTAGCCAAAAACGATAATCGAACCAGTAAGGGACGTTCCCGGGCTTAGGACAAGCCAGTAGACACCTCGGGGCCTGGCCTCGAGCCCACCTCGGGCCTATCGAAGATAACCTTGTCGAGGGTAATCGGGAAGGGGAATAACAGATAAGTATATGCATACAAGGCTTTATACCGTCAATCTTGAGCTAAATGATGAAGAACAAATGAAGAACAATAAAATGTTAGGGCGACCTCGGGGTCGAAGAACACTGATAATTTAGAAGAAAGAGAGAGAAAGAGAGATATTATTGCTTATTGGAGAAGTGGAGCAACATCAGTGTTTTACAAGATGGGGTGAGTCCCCCATATATAGGCGAAGGGACTCAATAGAATATGTATATATTATTTACGAGAGTAGAAGTATGAGACGGCCTATCGCACGTCATCTCAGTAGATTATAGATAGACCGGCCCTGTCAGGTGTAGCCATGCGCCTGGGAGACTTCTTCTTCTATTCCGACCTCAGACCCTGCCCCCCTTCGATTCGGGCTCCAACGATCCCTGAGACCGAGAACTTGACCGAGGCCTTCCACCCTCGGGGTTCCGAGGAAGGCTTCTGAAATATCTTGATAGCAGAAAATCAAGTCATCTGATTTTACCGCGTACAGAGGGTAATAGGGACCACGCCATGGTTGCGACCAATCATCATACTCCTACCAGGTATACTGATACCCAAGTCCAAAGGTGGTACCGTAACGTTTCGGTTTAATTGGCTTAGTGATGCCCTAGAGATTCTTCCCAAGCCCTTTGCCGGGTTCATACCCTGACCATGCCAGTATGCTTTCTATTTTGCCGCTCCACCATTTATCTTTCTCAATTGCATTGACACACTCGATGCGGTGATAAGTTTCTCCACCCAACTTTCTTCTATTCTCGACAACCGGGACAGTTTGACTAGTGTAAATGGGATTACTTTCGTCTCCATGAATGATTACCTCCGGATGGTTCCATTCGAACTTCACCGCTTGGTGGCGTAGAAGCCACAGCTCTAGTGGCATGTATCCAAGGCCGTCCCAGTAAAAGATTGTACGTAGTAGATATGTCCAATACTTGAAACACAACATCAAACCAAGTCGGGCCCATTTGTAAATAAAGGTTGATTTCCCCAATCGTGGCCCTTTGAGACCCATCAAATGCTTTCACATTCATACTCCCTACTCGTATCTCATGGAAATCTTTACCCAACCTTTTCAGAGTGGTCAATGGACAAATGTTGAGGCTCGAACCCCCATCTATTAAGACTTTGGCAATGAATTTGTCCTCAAACTGTACCGTGATGTGCATTTCTCTATTGTGACATAGTCCTTCAGGTGTTATTCATCTTCGTGAAAGGTGATCTTGTGACTTTCCAGCACTCGCCCCACCATATTGGCCATTTCTCCACTGGTGATGTTGTTGGGCACGTAAGCTTCATTCAATACTTTCATTAACGCATTCCTATGCGTCTCAAAATTCTGTAGCAGCGACAGAATGGAAATCTAAGCAGGGGTTTTGTTTAGATGGTCGACAACAGAGTATTCTCTTGCCTGTACTTTCCTCAAGAGATCATCTGGACCAGTTTCAATGATGGGTTGTTTGGTAGCAGCTTCCTTACTTGTTCCTTCCAAATTTTCGGGTGTATAGATCCTTCCAGTTCTGGTCATCCCCTGTGCAGCACCAGACTCTTCCATTTTTGCTTTTCCTTTTCTCCTAGCTTCGGCAACATAATCCCAGGTATGGCGTTGGAATTGAAGGGTGGTGTGGATGCTACCGTCACAGTGAAGGGTATGGCTACTTCTACTTCAAATGGGATAGGTGTAGTCGCAGGTGCTGTCATTTCGATTTCGAATGGAACTGATGTGGCTATTTCGACTTCGACCTGTGGTTGTATATGTACCACAATAGGAGTGAGTGTGAATGCAATTTTAAGGTCGTCACCTTCCCGAATAAGCCTAATTGACCCTTCTCGATCCCATTCTTCATTAGTTTCTATCACATTTACTCCTTCACCCCTATGATTTGGGAGGGGATTGTTGCGGACATTTGGTGCGGCTTCCTTTGCTTGTATGACTTTGGTATCAATCAAGGTTTGAATCTTGTCCTTCAGAGTGCGGCATTCATCAATAGTATGCCCCTTCATGCCGGAATGGTACGCCCATGTTTTGTTCGGGTTAACCCATTAGGAGGAGTTTTCCATGGCGACAGCAGGAATAGGGGTAACATATCCGGCAGCCTTCAGTCTTCATATAGCTGGTCGATGGGCTTAGCAATAGGGGTGTATTGTCTATTGTCTGGGCAACCTGCAATCGAATTTGGGTCTGGGTTTTTGATAGTCTTGACGGGTTGGAGGTGAATGGTAATAGGTTGGCTGGGTGTTATAAGTGTGATAGGCGGTAGCGGTTGAGAATATCTGGGAGGTGAAGGTTGGTATGTAGGTGGGGGTTTTTGGTTTGTGAGTGGGGATTTTGGACCTTGGGCCACCATCACTGCCCTTACTTCTTTCTTCTTTGATATACCCCCAGACTGTAATGCCTTGTTCGTAGCCTGCAATGCCTCGAAATTAGTTACCATCCCGTTCTTGATCCCTTCTTCAATCCTTTCCCCGAGTTTGATGATGTCGGAAAAGTTTTGATTTTCGACGACCATAAACCTTTCATAGTATTGTGGATCCTGGGCCCTGACGAAGAATTTGTTCATATGATTTTCTTCCAATGCCAGCCTAACCTTTGCAGCTTCTGACCTCCATCGAGTAGCATACTCATGGAAAGTTTCCATTGGATTCTTCTTGAGGTTCTGTATGTAGAAGACGTCCGGTGCATTCTCTGTATTAAATCTGAATCGGTCCATGAAGTCTGATGCCATGCTTACCCAATTAACCCGCTTCTTGGGATTTTGATTGATATACCAAGATAGGGCGTCTCCATTGAGACTCCTCATGAATAGCTTCATGCGAGTTCTTTCATCTTTCCCAACTCCCACGAGTTTGTCACAGTACGTCCTCAAATGTACCTTTGGGTCTCCTGTTCCGTCGAACATCTCGAACTTGGGAGGTTTGTAACCCTCTGGCAGTTCTACGTCTGGCTGAATGCATAGATCTTCATAATTCAAACCCTCAATTCCTTTGCCTCCTTCAACACCCTGGACTCGGCTTGTGAGCTTCTTGAGCTCCTCCACCATGTTCTTAATGAGCAGGTCCTTCTCGACGGATTCTGGTGTGTATGAGATTGGTTGAGCGGAGTGGGGTAAGGTTTCTACGTATATGGGATTGTTTTGGTGGGTGCCGGGGGTTTGAGTGTAGTGGTGATCATTAGTTGAATTTTGCGGATCAGGGATAGGTTGTGGGGTATTCTGAGGAGCATGGTAAGTGGTTTGTGGGTATTGAGTTGGGAGATGCTGGTGTTGAGGAGGTGTAGGTACAGGCGGAGGATTAGGATTTTGGGGAGGTATTGCGTATTGATGGGGTGCAGAAGGATTTTGCGGGTGTTGGTTTGGTGTGTTTTGAGGAGGTGCTGGGTTTTGAGCATTTTGTTGGTTAATGTCTGGGACGTTTAGGGTGAGGGAGAGGTTTGCCAAGTTGCGGACCTGCTCAAGTTCCCCTTGCAATTCCAGTATTTTCTGTTCCAATCGTAGGACCATATCATTCTGGGCCGGAGTACTCCGACTGTCTGAAGTTTCAACATTTTCTACGTGCGCAGCATTTTCTTTCCGGATACCACTCATATCATCTATCTTAGCTTTTCCCTTTCCTTTCGGATTACTTGGAGGAGGAGGAGGTGGAGGGCCTCAAGATCTGGTGTGATATGCTGATGATGCCAGTATGTGCAAACCAACCTGAGGGGATGGGAAGAATCAAAATAAAGAAAAATGCAAAAAGGTAAATAAGTCAGTAAGGATTCTGAAAAGTATTTGCAGTATTTTAAACACGTATTGCAGGAATATAAATTCGCGTCCTAATTTTGGGAACCTCGTTGTGCCCGAGGTAAGCCTAGTGACAAGTAGATTTGGAGAGATTTAATGCCGATAAATGCCTCATTTCATTAATGTAATAAATAAGACGAAC